TTTCGGTTCATGCATATTGCTCACACTCTGCTTGAACGTAACATCATGTATGAATCTTGTGCCACGTGAATAAAAGGCTTTAATCCTGTTATCAAGAAGGCAGCTGTTTCTAAAGAATAAAGAAGTACAAAAAACTCGCTGCGCCGTTGCCGAGCATCCGCCAAGCACAGCAGCCACCAAGACCGTGAAACCATAAAAGCCGAAAGAAATACAAAATCAGTTTCACCGCAACACTCACAGCCCCAAGAGAGTGCTGGCAGCTCTCCTTGCGGTAGTAAATGCTCGTCCCATATTTCACTCTCTTTTCAGGAGTGCTGGGAAATGTTTGCTGCACATAGTAGACGCACTCTCTCGACAGAGCGCCTGTAGTCTGGCTGAACGGGAGTGAACAAGCTCCCTCGCCAGAGTACAGTCACACCTCTGAAATAGCGTTTATATGCTCTACGGGAGTTACACTACTCCAACAGAGTTTTACAATCTGGTTGGGCTAGAGTGCAGCAATTCCCTTCAAGAGTAGAATCACTCTTGCTGCTAGGACTAACGTCTAAAAAAAAGTCGAGCATATTCTAGAATTCAACAGAGCAAAGATTGCTTGAAGCTTCCGTCACATATAGAAGACCGACATCGGCACACACACTATAATCGTACACAACACAGAAACACAGAACATACACCTTTTGCGATACAGGCAATTATATATACTTCAACCGGTATTTATATCCGTGATGTCTAGCCCCCCTTAAGTGCGGGTGGTGCAACATCTCTAGTGTGAAAATTTGAAGAGCAATTATACATCTGGCTTGTGTAAGTATTGGTGATGGTTAGGTACTTTGTAAGCATGTCAACCTTTTATGATAAAACTACATGATATTCAACGTCGTTTTCATTACTTAATTTTAATTATCAGCTAGCATTCTGTCATAACGGCTCAACGCAGCAAAGGCACTTGTGCTTAAGACCAGGAGTTGTAGCTACGCGCTTACAAATACGGCTGGGACAATCTTTCAGCAGTGGTGGCTGAGAAATAATCTATTACATCACGATTCTGCGTCCATTCTGACTTGCGATGCTGTGGCGTGTACTAGTATGCCATAAAAGCAACGCCAGTTGGAAAACCACATTTCAAACGCATCTCTGGCAATTCTTACAATTTCACTTACCTAAGCCAGGCAAGATTGGCCCAACGAAATGTTACTTGTACAACTCCCAGTGAATGTATGCCTGGCTTACCAGCTGAGTCCGTCATACAAGTTATCAGCGCTTCTGGGTTTAATAATATGTGATTCCAAAGAGTGAAAATTACTGTACAATAGAGCCTTGTCATCGGTGAACTTGACTGAACCATTGTTTATTCCGTATGATACCCGCACAAGGAGTGATGAGCATCAATGCGATGCACTTTCAGCCAGCGGTGCAGTGCAGGCGGGCCACCGAAAGCCACCGGGTACATTCCTTGCCCCTTTGCTGTCTTCTACGTGAAAATACAGGCTTGTTGTTCGGTACACGTTCATAAAGTAACCGATAGAAAATTTCTTGAGCATGCAATTTGGTTTTTAGCAATTGGCTATGTAGTTCCAGCTTTCGGTTCACAGATGCAAATCTGTACATTCTGACACGGCCGCTGCACTATAGCATATCATCGCTTGCGCAAGAAAATACACCTTATTCAGTCAAGTATGCAGATGTTTATCAAGCTTAACAGTCGATATAAAACTTCTGTGGACATCAACCAGCAACAAAGGGAGAGATGGCTGTTGCACTTGGCAGCAAAAGCTGATGTCTGCCCCAGCTTTACAGTAATATTTGTATTTTGTTTTTCTTTTCTATGTTGTGAGTTCTGAAAAAATTTGGTGTCCTGGCATTAGCCGCATGTCATGTGTGGATGGCAGCAGTTTCCATATTATGAAGACGCAAGGTTTCGTTGGAAAAGAAAATCGCGTCTGAGTTCAAACTGCGACCCGTGAAGCGGTACAGCGTTTTCTCTTTCCCAGTTTTTTTTACTGCATAGTGAGCATGATGTGATGTGGCGTAGTGGTAGAGTACTCGCCTGGTCGTGCGTGAGGAGTTCGAATTCCACTGGGCTAAGATTTCCTTTTCTTTTTTTTTGTAAGCCATTTATTTTTTCCACTGTGTTGAGCCTCTACATAATTGTAGTGGCAATTCGTGCCCCAAACTAATTTTCGGCAATGAGTTAAAAGTTGCCACTGTTCCTTGCTTTGAAGGTGTTATCGCTTCGGGAACGAAATATTCATAATAAAAAAAACTATGCTTTTGTCATCACTGAAGGTTCTCCTATGAACTTGACGCATTAAACTTACATCTGGGGCATCTGCACTCAGAGGTGTGTGATTATGACACCGTCAATATGGCTTTCTGGCGTCAGTGGGGTTATGCAGGCACTAGATTGTACTCAGTCAGCAAGGGTGGAGTGCCAGACTCTTTTCACGTCTCATCGGCGAGTTGCATAAATTGGGGATTCCACCTGAATAGCAGAGCGTTCGCCGTCTCCCTTCAAGGAAAGAGCGAATTCCGCAACTAACTCTGCCCTACTTATTTATTGAGTTAAAGAACCCTAGGGAGTGATAGCATTCCTCTGCTCTTGCAGTACTTCTTTTAATTCTGTGAGTAAAGAGAAATGATCATTTCGCACGGTCTCTTCGCATTGAGGGTGCAGCACGTGAGAAAGAATATAGGAGCCCTGCACTGATGCTTGCCAAGATAGCGCGCTAGCCAGCGGTCACAACTGCGTCCTCAGAATCAAAGTGAACAGCTGCTGCTTGAGCAATCCCCCTTCCCTTGCATCTATTCATACTCGTTCATGCTCTAAAATCCCGCCGTCAAGACCGCTGGGTGTCGTTGCATGTGTCTTCCGAGCAGCGGAAATGAGCTGGCTGGTTCGATCTTTGCTTGGGCTGCTCGCGCACTTTTACTCGCGAATAAGAACATAAAATGCGCTGGGGTTGTTGTGAACTTGTAGTGTACTTGAAATAAGACAGCGGCGAAACGCATCGACATCGCAAAAAGGAGAACTTGCCGCCCCATTGCCTAGAAACGACGCATCTAGTGTATTGCTCTCTGTTTTCTATGGTTCTCATTTCGGCTGTGGCTAGCATAGAGTTTCCTAAATATACACTAGAGGGAGCTCTGGCGCTAGGGTCTATGGGAGCTGCAGCGCATGGCATGGGAATCATGGGTATGACATGGATTTGTCTAGTCTTCGTACTTTACTTTCATTCTGGCTTTGCACGGCTTGAAGCTGCTCTCTTAAACAGCAATCTGCAAATGTTTGGCAGTTCCGCTTCACCACTTTAATCTTTTAGGCTTATCACTTCGAAATGGGTCACAAAATGAAAAACGATTTGTTTTTTTTCTTGTAAACAAAACAAAAACACAGCATAAACAAAGCCACAAGTGTGTTCACGGCCTGCAAGCACGAAGACTAGGCAAATTCATGTCATACCCATAGTTCCCATGGTCGCTGAACGATCACAGTGCCAGAGTCCTTTTCTAGTTAATTTTAGGAAACTATATGGTGACCAGGCCCGCAGCCCTGGGCAGGGGAAAGCCCCCCCTCCCCCTTTCAGGGAAAAAAATTCCTGGCTATGGGCCCAGCCGTGGCACTTAAATGTTCCAAGCATAAGTTTTTGCAGTTCATTTTTACAAAGTGGTATTAACGTAAAATGGTACCAATAACTTTGAGAAACCTTAATGGCAGATTGGGCAAGAAACAGACAGGAGTTGCAGAAATCCTAGCTTACATCAATTGAAAAAAAAAAAGGTCAGTTCGATTCGCCTGCACAACGTGAACCAGTTCACAAGGTGCTGCACCTTGTCATTCGTTTCAGCGGTGCAGCATTGACGACCGCTGAACCCAGCCATTCGTTTCGAAAGGTGCAGAAGAGGTGCAGCACTGGTTCACAATTTTTCTGCACCTTCTTCGCTGACAGTGCCGGCTTGGTGCAGGCGCGCGTGCAGCTGAGCAGACGACGCAGCACTTACACGTAGGTGGCTTAGGCGCCGTACCCGCCTCTACAAATGCGGTGTGTTTTGCCAAGATGTTTGCGCCTCATAAACTGTCCGCATGTGCGTTTCGCCATAGATCAGTGTTTGCTGAACGGTATAAATTAACCGAAAAGAAATAAGCCCAACACCTTGTCGGCACATCGTCATTTATTTCAGGTGTCGTGCTGTGCCTGCACCGCTGAACTCACGCTGCACAATTTCTGAACTTCGCGTGCACAGCCGTGAACCGGTTCCGACCGGTACAGGTAAATCGAACGAACCTAAAGTGGACCTGGGTTGGTCATATAATTCATAGAACAAAAAACCAGTGTGTAGTAAAAGTAACTGTTACCAAGGTATGGAAAACATAGTATGACAGGGCAGGGGGTTAAATGAAGTGACAAAACTAGGTGGTCCGAAGGGGTAAAATGAAATCAGTTCGTGCAGGATATAGGGTAGACTGGAGATCATTAGGTGAAGCTTTTATCCTGTTGTAGACTAGCACAGGCTGAGAATGATGATGACGATTATCGGATTTAAAGTGAAAGTAACATTTATTAGCTCATCTCTGGTCATCATTTGCTGTTCGTGTGTGATGCAGTGTATTATTAAAGGTTAGAATGTACGATGCATTCTAACGTGTTATCAATTAGGACTTCTTGCGGGACATGATGGCAATGGCAATAACAGAGACTTGTAGGGAGTGTTTAGACAATTGCTATTGCAAGAAAATGCAGTATCGCACCACACTGTAATAGACTTGTGGTTAATGTTGCATCGCAATGTGTTCCAGTCGCTAGCAGCAATGCATACCGAATGACTTTTTATACCGCTAGATAGTTGTAATGCATGGATAGTTTAGTTTGCTGTAATCATGATATGAACAGGGAACTATTCGAGTTATAAGTAAAAAAAGGGAATGGGCCAGATTTTTCGGCAAATGTCATCTGTTCCATGAGCTTTGGAGGCCTGCTTTACAGCAAGTGGTTGCTGCGCAGGTGCGGCGCATGGTGAGCATGGTGCTGCATGCCGGTCTGTCGGGACATGACACCCTTTTGGTGATGCGCAAGCTTTTGGAGAACCCGAGCAAGCACAACTGGCCCGGCAACGTCACTGTCGTGCCCGCATGTGGTCTTTACCTGATGCGTGTGCAGTACAACCCCGAACGTAAGTGCTGACACTTGTTTTCGAAGTTGTGCTTACTCCCCGGCACAAATTTTCTGTATGCAGTGATGGATATGAGCTATAGTTTCTAGGTCAGTGAATGTTGATAAGAATCATTCAAAAAACGACATGAACACAGGTGAAGAGGCAACAGGTGCTGATTCGTGATTTTTGACCTCTTTCTCATGCCCTGTCTTTCAAAGTGATTAATGAGCTCACCTCTTCGTCATTTTGTTTACCTTGTAAATTAATCAGTCGACCTTAGTTCTCACCTATAACAAGAACATCTGTGGTGAAAAAAGGTGGCCGGGAAAAAGATCAGGGCAGTGGCAGCTTGACAGAGCAGCAGCCACCCATCAACGGTAGAACGACAGGGCACGGCACTTGATCGCAAAATGAAAGGAGATGGAAACCTAGCTGGTTTCTCATCTTATGAATCTGTATAACACAAAAGGGAAATGGGCCTTCACAGAGGAACTTGAGCATTTACTGTGCATTGTTTTGCCACAAAGGCGAAGGAATGAATGCTACTGCAGCAAGTTGTAATTTCTCGCGAAGAAATGCAAGTAGCTCGAATCTTGCATTGAGCATAAACTTGCTCAAGCAGAAAGCACGCACAAATGAGCACACTCAGGAAGCCGCTCCGTGGTGGTTTAGTGGCTAAGAAACTCTGCTGCTGACCCTCAGGTCGTGGAATCGAATTCCAGCTGCAGCGGCTACATTTTCGATAGAGGCAAAAATGCTGTAGGGCTGTGTGTTCATATTTAGGTGCACGTTAAAGAACTCCAAGTGGTCGAAATTTTCAGAGCCCTCCGCTACGGCGTCTTCCATAATCATATAGTGGTTTTTGGATGTTAAATACCACATATAAATCAATCAAGCATACACAAGAAGGGCGCGGACAACCGTTGCAATTCTTACTTCATCGTGTGTGAGCGGCTCGCTCCTTTCGTAAACTCGGCTGGCAGCGAAGTTGCTTTCATGGTGTCCTGATTCACGAGATAGGTGCACGCGCATGAGAAAACACATTCATGCACGCATTGAAATGCGTGCAATGACGAACTTTAGAGCGTGCCCACCGCATGCACTTCGCGTGATCTCGCAACTGATGATGAAAACGCACTGTAATTGCGTAGCTCTGAGGACCGCGAAATGGTATATGATGTAAATAAGTAGCTTGCCATTAGACACCCAGCAATGGAACTTTTTCTTCTGATTGTTCTTTTTGCAATCTGTTAGTATTATAAACGTTGCACTGGAGCTGTCAAGCCATCGCGCACAGTTGCGAGCACGGTCCGCTAGCTCAAGCCTCTGCTGCGCACTCAATGCTGCTGCCCTTTTGATGATCTGATTCCTCTTCATTACAGTATATATTTTACAGCGTGCATTATATCTTTACAACCTCATATTCATGAGGGAAATACGTCAGTGAAGCCGTGGTGGACCTCGGCATAGAATACAGTCATGTTAAAAAAAAATGGCAAAGTAAGCACGGTTGAAACTTGAGCTGGTTGCTACATACTGTTGAAAAAAAAAATTGACAGACTCCACGTACCTTAAGAATATTTGGTTATGCAAAGCATGTTTTGTAATTTTTATAGAGCAAAACTTTACAAAGTAATACTAAATATATGCACGTGACACATGTCAAACTGCCGCATATGTTTTTCATAACCACTTATTTACAGTTGCGTAACAATGCCAACAACATCATGTATATTAGTAGCAACAGAGGGGTAAGTTGCTATGAAGCGCTGATGCTTGCGAGGATTGTAGCCCTGGACACTCCTGCATAAATCAACTTCGACGGATGGTGCCTAACTACAATTAATGTTAACCAGATATGACAGATGTATGAAAGCAGTACAGTCAGGCACAATTTGAAGGTTATCGCCAAGCATCAACTAAAAACTACGAGCGCCACATCCCAGAACACACTTTCGAGGAAAGCGTGGTATCATGCAAGCTTCACTCACTCTTTTTGCTGTTCATTAAGGAGTGCCTAGCCAGCACCAGCTGCAACACATCTTTTCAAGCAATTCTATAATTGTCAGCATAGATAAGAGCCCACAAAGAATACACTTTATAGCGAGAATTGGAGAGCTCAAAATTGCGAGAAGGGATGTAGAGTTCGTCTTAAGGGTAATCTTTGTAGCATGCAACAGCCAACGAGAAAAAAAAAAGCTTTGGTAAAATCACGATTTTCATTGTTCTAAACAAATGGCTAGGCCCCTGGGACGTTAGGCTGGTCGACGGTCATGTGATGTAACCTTAATATCGCACGCAACTGTACATATTGCCACCCGCACTTGGTGGGTCAAGGGCGTCAGTGGCTCTTGCCCTAAAGAAAAAAGGAGATCTCGTGATTCTTCTCTGCTCGAGAGCCAACCGGGACGGACGCATTGTTAATGAGCTATCTACTCAGTGGCTTAATAAACCCCCCAGCACTTCTGAAGCCTCGTGACAAACTGATGGATATGCTGGGTACCCCACAGATGTTGCAGACCCCCCCCCCACCAGGGAGTCTTGCTACGGGTACAGTGCCAGTCAGCACCCGTGCATCGGCCAGCCACCGAATCAGAGGATCGCCTCTGGAAGTCGAGGGTATTGTTCTTACTACGTCAACAAACATGACCAGCGCTTCGGTCCAAACCTCGCGAGCTGGCAGGGAAAGCATGATGTCAAACCGTTATACATTAGAAAGCCCACGGGTCCCGGCGACGTTCCATGGCATGGAGCATGAGGACGTTGAGGACTGGTTGACCGACTTCGAGCGCATAGTCACCTGGAAAAACGCGGCGAAACTGGGTCGTGTATATTTCTACCTGGTGGACAGGGCGCGAACCTGGTATCAGAATCGAGAGGAGCAGCTCGTAGATTTCTGCATAATTACGCCAGTGCTGATCGCCAAGAACAAGCTGAACGAGCTACTCTGGCCGGCGTCCAGTTGCCAAATGAAACTGTGACCACGTACACTGAAGACATGACGTGCCTCTTTCGACGAGCCAACGCAAGAATGATGGAGGACGACAAGTTGCGTCACTTTAGGCGCAGTTTCAAGGAGCAGCTTTTTGCCAGCCTCGTGCGGAGCCTTCTGAAGACGGTTGTGGAGTCCTTGTCTGAGGCCATGACTGTGAAAAAAAATGCTGCAGCAGTGATCCAACCTATACGATAGGCAAGTCAGTGGCATGTCCACTTCTGACATTTTCACTGCCACTGGTACCAGCAATGACTGCGTATGAACTGATCCATTTGATAGTATGTAAAGAGTTGCAAAAGGCCAGCGTAACACCGCATCCCATTCTTAGCTGTATTGCAACTGTGATCAAGGATGAGCTTCACCAGGCCCTCCAGAACGCCTTGCCTCCTGATACAGCTGTGCCGGCTCCTGCTGAATACCGCCAAAAGACAATGTATGAGAAAGCCTTAAAGCGCCCTGCTGTATTGCTGCCACTGTTGGTTAATGCTGTTCCTACGATTTCACTCCAAACAGCGCAGCACATACCGTACTACAAAGGCACATACACGCCCCTACCCTTGCTCTATGTTCGTGGCGCTCCTGTTGCCTATCGTTCAGAGCAACCGGTCTGGCACATCGACGATCGACACACGTCTCCTCGGAAGTCAGATGTTTGGCGCACACCCGATTGCCGGCCTTTATGCTTTCACCGCGGATAAGCTGATTACTTGTACTGCCAGTGCCCATACCGCTGCCTTGGGCTTTGCGGCTTCTCTGTGTACTTTCCGCCACCCCGCTATAGCCAGCGACCCCGCGACATCGAAAACTACCTCTCCCAGCAGCATTCACCACCGTCTGCCTAACCGAACTACCCGAAGCACTCTCTGGGGCGGGGTCGCTGAACGTCGATTGAAGACTTTCTATTGACGCAGAGCCCTACAAATACTGATCCAACATCACCTGCTGCAGCAAGGGATGGCCAGCTTTCTCTCGACATGTCAGTGACGATTGATGGTTACGCGGTTAATGCATTAGTGGACACCAGCGCAGACTATTCCATACTGAGCGGGAAACTGGCAGTGCCGCTTAAAAAAGTAATCACGTCGCGGCGTAACTCACAGATTCAGACCAGCTGGTGGCCACGTCGTTACTTCACTGGGTGCCTGCGCAACTACAGTACAGATTCAAGGGCATACATTCGCAGCAAGCTGCCTGGTCCTATGGAAATGCTCCCATGACATCATTCTGGGAGTTCATTTTCTGCAGGAGAATGGTGCTATCATTAATCTGCCAGAGCACCACCGTCACATTCTCCACTAGTAAGCAATCGTCATGCAGGACGACGAGCGGCGTTTCTGAGTGGAGCTTGATGCTGCCTCCAGGAGCAAGTCGACGCAAGTTCTAGTCACGCAAGTTCTAGTCGACGTCACATGCTGTGGTTTGGGCTATGGCGAAGTGGTGGCCAAAAGAAACTTTGAACACCTCCTGCAGCGAGGCATTTGTGTAGCTAGAAGTGTAATACACCTTCGTGATGGCCAATCTGAATTGCTGGTTACCAACTTTAGCAACGAGCGTCGACACCTTTTCTGTGACACTTCGATAGGGTTTGCCCGCAGTGTAGCAAATGTCACCTACAGTTCCTCAAACATCCGCCTGACAACCACCACTCAACACAGGATCATCACGGACGAGGATGCACGCCAATACACCAGCACCCTTACCGCTTGTCGTATAAAGAACGTGAGGGGATACATACGCAAGTCCACTAGATGCTTGATGATGGCTTTATTGAACCATCCAACAGCCTGTGGTCGTCTCCAGTTGTCCTTGTCAAAAAGAAGGACAGGTCTCTAAGCTTCTGCGTTGACTACCAGAAGCCTAACAACATAACCAAAAAGAATGTATACCCGATGCTGTGTATTGACGACTCGCTGGATAGACTTCATCGTGCCCATTATTTCTCTTCTCTCGATCTGAAAAGTAGATACTGGCTAATTGAGGTAGATCAGCGAGAGCGTGAAAAAACAGCCTTCGTGACTCCAGA